CAGCTGACTGTGGTATGAACTCACAACGATGAATGTATAACGAACTTGAACATGGCCTATAACCTTTAACTCTACTCGTTACTGAAACGAGCCGTGCATAAGGTAGCTCACGTGATTTCGAATTACCTAAGAGAGGTGAAACATTCATCTTTTATTTTTCGTGTTAGAAGTGTCACATACTGTAAAACAAGTTGAAAAAGCGGCATGCAATTTTAGCGAATTGTGGTAAAATGACGTAATAGCGAAATGTTGATTTAGCGAATCTCTCTTGTCATTGTTGATTTCCTGTTTTCACAATACTTGTCTGTCGCGTGCCAAAACAAATGCGCAGTTATCACCTCCAATAAAAACAAAGAAAAACTGTCAAGTGTAATTAGGAAGCGCCCCAGATTTTTATGCTCCGGGTTACTGTATACAGATCCTCAAGCCCTGGCCATTTTGAATTTATAATAAAGTCGTTAGCGACATCTTGAACTAGTTCTCTCGCTAAATTCGCTCGCGAAAAGAACATGTTTTACAGTACTTGTTGGTTTTGACACATGTTTCGGGGCGCGGTGTATTGCTACAAACCATCCCAAATTAAGCGAGTTCACATTATATAACTATCGACCAATTTGGACTTCGGGTCACCTAATCAGAGATGCATACCCTTTATCTATAGAGAGAGATTGTTTCAAACATGCGATCTCACGTCACCGAACTGTCTACATGAATCGGCTGGGATTTCCATCCATTACGTCTCTTTTAATGTTGTCAATATTCGTACTCGACGTCAAATTCAATCAGCAGAATAATGAATCCAGCACACATTTAACAAAAATATTAGTTAGTCCAGAGATATAGAAAGTAAACTCGCGCTAAGAAGTAGTATGTCGCCCCCTAGAGTTCAAATAAAATTAATTAAACATACTGCCACTAGAGGGAGGCATACATGCAGGAGATATCAACTGAATGCCTACGCGATGCCACAGTTTGCACTGACGTTGTATTTTCAGGTTACTTCCTAAACTGAATGGCCTCATAAATACTTGAAGGAAATACTGTACACTAAAAACGAACCATCAACACCGCAAATGTATAAATGTACTATTATATGTCTTTTTTATTATACT